GTGTATATATATATATAAATATGTCTGGGTGCTTATATTTTATAATCTGATTGCGTTTGTTTTACGCGTGAGTTTAGGACCCCATTCACACACTCTTAGGATTAAAATGTATACATTGTCAAAGGACCGGATATAAAATTAGCTAAAGTAACTTCAATGAAGAAATAAATAGAATAACATATATATTTCTTCTTTTCTCCTCAGTAATTTTATAGTTGTAAACATAATAGCGATTAAATTTTGATCTTGAAATTAGCAGATTTTAATTTTAATATTAAATTTTATCATATAATTTAGTAATTATTGGTTAGAATAAATTCTTTTTTAAATACTACCCATATTTTAAACATCTGAATAGCTATTATAACATGACTTCGTTGTCAAGCTTTTTGAATTTTCCTATACTTGTATTTTGATTGGTCCATCTAGCCTTTGGAACAACGTTTTCCCCTTGTGAAGGATTGTTAATTAATTCGAAACTTTTAAAACCATTTATTTTATCTCCAACATCATCACTTGATAAGACACTGAGAGTGTTGAAACAAAATGGCTATTTTTGTAGTGATTTTATAACATATTTCTGTTATAAATTTTTTTTAAAATAAATAATTATATATATATATATATATATTACATCTAATTCATTCCTAGGGGTATAAACGCATTACAGCTGCCGAATCGCCTGACGATTGCTTAAAGGCATGAAACTTATCGTAGTGATCGTACTGTGTACACCTAAAAGGGGATTCTTTGTTCAGAGAAGCTCTACCATACTGTGTGGTGTTGAGCACTTTCCTTTCTGGTGTGCATACACGGCAGCTGCTTATTTCTATTTGGTGTTAAAATCAAGGTCTCTTTATATATATATATATATATATATATATATATATATATTCAAATAATATTAAAAATAGATCGTTAATAATATTATATGAAAAGATTACTTAACTTTTAAATATCAGTTTTAACCCGACTTCGAAGTTTCTTGGTAAAATATCCAGTCTTCAGGGGTTACTGGTTTTAAGCGTTATTCCTTTTTTTTTTTTTCATTTTTTTCAGCTTATTCAGCATTTTTTACACGTTTTGTACACGTGCGCTTTCATAAATATAACGTTCTTTTGCACACGCACGTTCATGAAATTTTGCTTTTGTTTGCGTCTTTCATATTTTCAGCTGTAAATTTTTCTTCCATTTACAATTTCTTTCTTCCAAATTAAAATTTGCAACGGGAAGAAAAATGTACACCTACTTGTACAAAACAGAGTAAAAAAGTGGATTGAAAAAGACGCGGAACAAATTGAAATAATTGCAAATATCCTTTAAAACCAGAACCCCCTGAAGACTGGATATTTTATCCAGAAACTTCGAAGTCGGGATAAAAATTGATATTTAAAAGTTAAGTAATATTTTCATATAATATTATACACACACACACACACACACACACACATACACACACACACACACACACACATATATATGTACATATATATGTGTGTATGTGTATGTGTCTGTGTGTGTGAGTGTATATGTGTATGAGCGTTGGTCAATATGTGATATTATCATGTGGACAACCATGTAGAAGTGGAAATATATATATATATATATATATATATATATATATATATATATATATATATATATATTATAGTAGATTAAAACAAAAACACGTTGTAAATCATCTACTCACTAGTCATTTACCAGCGTCTGAAGAGGCACAACTTAGTGCTGAAACATGAAAACTATTGTTTAGCGATTTTCAACATGTTTTTGTTGTAATTTACCATAATAAATGATTGTACACTGTATTGAGCCCGTTTTTAAAATTAAATGCTGCTGACAGTGGAATCATATTCCATTTGTTCTTATCCCATACCTATATATATATATATACAGTGGGTAGCAAAAGTATTTAACACATTGGTTTTTCTTACATATCTCAAAAAATAACAGATCAATTTCAACGAAACTTATAGGAAATATTTAAACGAACATTGTCGATCAAAACATAGAAGGAAAATTTAAAACCACTGTTTTGAGAAACATTTATTAACAATAAATAAAATAACCCATATGCAAAAGTATTTAACACCAATGCAAATATTATGCTAGAAGAGACATGTCATCATGATTCCTACCCATATTGATATGATGTGATATGTCGACCAATGACAGCACTGCACGACACTCAACTGGCTATTAGATAACAGCTCTGAGACACTGCAGCTATTCTGTTGTCACTACTGCAAGAAAATGGTGAAAACAAAAGAATTGTCGAACGACATGCGCAGGAAGATCATAAAGAATCACAAAGATAGTAAGGGATATAGAAAAATCGCTCAAGATTTGAATTTGCTTGTGAGTACAGTTGGTACTGTTGTTCGAAAATGGAAAAAAATTCGATACTATTGAAAACATTCAAAGGAGTGGTCAACCCCGTATCTTAAATGAAGCTAATGAGCGATACATTTCCCGTACTGTGAAGAAAAAACCATGTTCAACTCGTCGAGAAATTCAGAATGATTTGAAAAATGCCGGAATTGAAGTTAGTAAAGATACAATTAAAAGATCACTGAATCTTGCAGGTCTCACTTCAAGATCACCGAGAAAGACTCCATTACTGAAACGCCGACATGTACAAGCCCGTTTGAATTTTGTAAAGAAATATGAAATTGAATCTAATGATTTCTGGTAGAAAGTAATTTGGTCAGACGAAACGAAAATTGAGCTTTACGGACGAAACACGCGCACTCATGTATGGAGGGAAAAAGGAGCGGAATACGAGCCAGCAAATACCATCCCTACAGTCAAACATGGGGGTGGAAATATTGTGATGTGGGGTTGTTTTGCCTCAAATGCAGTAGGAAAAATGAAAATCATCGAAGGGACAATGAATGCTGCAAAATACACTCAAATTTTGTCAGCTCAACTTTTGAACAATGCCACATCTTTGGGACATGGTCGTGATTTTGTATTTCAGCAAGACAATGACCCGCAGCATACTGCTAAAACAACTAAGAATTGGTTTAATAATAATGACATTAATGTCTTGGAATGTCCAAGCCAGTCACCGGATTTAAATCCAATCGAAAATTTATGGAAACTATTGAAGTTACGAGTTCATAAAAGAAATCCATCGAATTTAAACAAATTGAAGAAAATTTATGAAGAAGAATGGTTCAATATACCAACAAGTACCTGCAAGAAACTAGTTGAAGAATACGGGAAACGACTGGAGGCTGTGAAGCAGAACAGAGGCCACTGTACTAAATATTAGTAAAGTGTGTTAAATACTTTTGCATATGGGTTATTTTATTTATTGTTAATAAATGTTTCTCAAAACAGTGGTTTTAAATTTTTCTTCTATGTTTTGATCGACAATGTTTGTTTAAATATTTCCTATAAGTTTCGTTGAAATTGATCTGTTATTTTTTGCGATATGTAAGAAAAAACAATGTGTTAAATACTTTTGCTACCCACTGTATATATATATATATGTGTGTGTGTGTGTGTGTGTGTGTGTGTGTGTGTGTGTGTGTGTGAATGTGTTCTGGAAACCTCTCAACTAAACCAGGAAGCCTTTCCCTTCAAATTTGTAAGGAAGTGGGTTGGGTGTAGAATTTCTTCACTCATACACGTGTCTATCTGTTTCAATAATGATCTGCTCCCTCAATACAATACTATATATATAGTTGACTCTCCCGTCGAGATTCGACGTATGAGGGTCAAGCAGATCAGTTTCCAGGAAACCGACAGCCCGACACCGGCACATGAGATACGATTATAGTGGTGAAGGCTTCGTGCAGGACCATCCACACACACACTATATATATATATATATATATATATATATATATATATATATATATATATATATTATGATATGAAAAATGTCCGACAATTATTTTAAGACATTTATATGTTTATACATTCTTTTTATAGGTACAAATATTTAAGTAAATGCTCTGTTTATAATAAACAGTATTAAAGAACATTTACCGGCCTGAATGTCCGAGAAATTTTCATAGAAAATATTCGTCCTCCGACAGGAATTGAACCTGTATCCTACACGGAATCGGCATATAGCCTGACGTGCTTTTAACCGATTTGGCCACAGAAGAACGTTCGGTTGAACAAAGCAAAGTTGATTTTACTGCCTTTAAACTACAAACTTCCATGATTCTCTCATGTACATTCATATCTGCATCATCGATAGTAAGTTCGATAAAGTCAAATTGGCAGCAGGCTGACCTCAAAAGTGAGCTTCAATCTGTTGTTAACAGGGACAACGAATGGCTTGTTAATTTTAACGCGCTAAAACGAGACTATCGTCTTTTAATCGTCTGAGTAAAGCCTTTTCTGGCTTCCATAAGCATGACTAATGCTAACTTTCAGAAGAATGACCTATTGTGCCTTCACGGGGTGACGTCTTCCTCTGGTCTGGCGTCTCGGCACTAGTCACTTTCTCACCGCCGTTTATGTAGCTTTCCGGTACCTTTTCAATAAATACTTTCATGGTAATTGTTCGGATGAATTTTCCCCTGTTGCACTGTGACTTTATAAATTTAAGTGCAGTACTAGATTTGACAGCAAGTTTACATCATTTTATAGATAAAATAGCTAGATATCACTGGAAGTTCTATGCTAACAGTTTCTTCTCTCGGGCATTTCAATTATGGAACTCTCTTCCAGCTTCTTGCTTCCGAGTTAACTTTGATCTTCGAAAATGTAAATGCAATGTTAATTGCTATCATCTTAATCCCTGTTCTTTTACTGTTCGCTCTCCTTAATTAAGTTTTTTTTCTCATATTCTCTCAAACTCAGTAAGCGCTTACGCCTTAGTGGCTTTATTACCTTGCTTGAAGTAAAATGATTTTAAAAAAGCAATTAATTGCTCTTTTAACCTGATCTATCTATCTATCTAAGTATATATTGGTTTGGTTTGCTTTGTTTTACGGTATATCATCCTCAATGGGTTATTTAATGCTGACGAGATTTTTATGGCTGGGAATACATTTTATATCTATCTATCTATCTATCTATCTATCTATCTATCTCAGTATATATTGGTTTGCTTTGCTTTGTTTTACGGTATATCATCCTCAATGGGTTATTTAAGGCCGACGAGATTTTTATGGCTGGGAATATATTTTATATCTATCTATCTATCTATCTATCTCAGTATATATTGGTTTGGTTTGCTTTGTTTTACGGTATATCATCCTCAATGGGTTATTTAATGCTGACGAGATTTTTATGGCTGGGAATACATTTTATATCTATCTATCTATCTATCTATCTATCTATCTATCTATCTATCTCAGTATATATTGGTTTGGTTTGCTTTGTTTTACGGTATATCATCCTCAATGGGTTATTTAAGGCCGACGAGATTTTTATGGTTGGGAAATACATTTTATATCTATCTATCTATCTATCTATCTATCTATCTCAGTATATATTGGTTTGGTTTGCTTTGTTTTACGGTATATCATCCTCAATGGGTTATTTAATGCTGACGAGATTTTTATATTGGGAATACATTTTATATCTATCTATCTATCTATCTATCTATCTATCTCAGTATATATTGGTTTGCTTTTGCTTTTGTTTTTACGGTATATCATCCTCAATGGGTTATTTAATGCTGACGAGATTTTCCTTTGGGAATACATTTTATATCTATCTATCTATCTATCTATCTATCTATCTATCTCAGTATATATTGGTTTGGTTTGCTTTGTTTTACGGTATATCATCCTCAATGGGTTATTTAATGCTGACGAGATTTTTATGGCTGGGAATACATTTTATATCTATCTATCTATCTATCTATCTATCTATCTCAGTATATATTGGTTTGCTTTGCTTTGTTTTACGGTATATCATCCTCAATGGGTTATTTAATGCTGACGAGATTTTTATGGCTGGGAATACATTTTATATCTATCTATCTATCTATCTATCTATCTATCTATCTCAGTATATATTGGTTTGCTTTGCTTTGTTTTTACGGTATATCATCCTCAATGGGTTATTTAAGGCCGACGAGATTTTTTTATGGCTGGGAATATATTTTATATCTATCTATCTATCTATCTATCTATCTCAGTATATATTGGTTTGGTTTGTTTTTGTTTTACGGTATATCATCCTCAATGGGTTATTTAATGCTGACGAGATTTTTATGGCTGGGAATACATTTTATATCTATCTATCTATCTATCTATCTATCTATCTATCTCAGTATATATTGGTTTGGTTTGCTTTGTTTTACGGTATATCATCCTCAATGGGTTATTTAATGCTGACGAGATTTTTATGGCTGGGAATACATTTTATATCTATTCATCTATCTATCTATCTATCTATCTATCTATCTATCTATCTATCTCAGTATATATTGGTTTGCTTTGCTTTGTTTTACGGTATATCATCCCAATGGGTTATTTAATGCTGACGAAATTTTTATGGCTGGGAATACATTTTATATCTATCTATCTATCTATCTATCTCAGTATATATTGGTTTGGTTTGCTTTGTTTTTACGGTATATCATCCTCAATGGGTTATTTAATGCTGATTTTTTTTTTATGGCTGGGAATACATTTTATATCTATCTATCTATCTATCTATCTATCTATCTCAGTATATATTGGTTTCTTTGCTTTGTTTTACGGTATATCATCCTCAATGGGTTATTTAATGCTGACGAGATTTTTTATGGCTGGGAATACATTTTATATCAATTATCTATCTATCTATCTATCTATCTATCTCAGTATATATTGGTTTGCTTTGCTTTGTTTTACGGTATATCATCCTCAATGGGTTATTTAATGCTGACGAGATTTTTATATATTGGGAATACATTTTATATCTATCTATCTATCTATCTATCTATCTATCTATCTATCTCAGTATATATTGGTTTGTTTTGCTTTTGTTTTACGGTATATCATCCTCAATGGGTTATTTAAGGCCAAACGAGATTTTTATGGCTGGGAATACATTTTATATCTATTCATCTATCTATCTATCTATCTATCTATCTATCTATCTCAGTATATATTGGTTTGTTTTGCTTTTGTTTTACGGTATATCATCCTCAATGGGTTATTTAAGGCCGACGAGATTTTTTATGGCTGGGAATATATTTTTATATCTATCTATCTATCTATCTATCTCAGTATATATTGGTTTGGTTTGCTTTGTTTTACGGTATATCATCCTCAATGGGTTATTTAATGCTGACGAGATTTTTATGGCTGGGAATACATTTATATCTATCTATCTATCTATCCTTCTATCTATCTATCTCAGTATATATTGGTTTGGTTTGCTTTGTTTTACGGTATATCATCCTCAATGGGTTATTTGATGCTGACGAGATTTTTTATGGCTGGGAATACATTTTATATCTATCTATCTATCTATCTATCTATCTATCTCAGTATATATTGGTTTGCTTTTGCTTTTTTTTTTACGGTATATCATCCTCAATGGGTTATTTAATGCTGACGAGATTTTTTTATGGCTGGGAATACATTTTATATCTATCTATCTATCTATCTATCTATCTATCTATCTATCTCAGTATATATTGGTTTGTTTTGCTTTGTTTTTTACGGTATATCATCCTCAATGGGTTATTTAAGGCCGACGAGATTTTTATGGCTGGGAATATATTTTATATCTATCTATCTATCTATCTATCTCAGTATATATTGGTTTGGTTTGCTTTGTTTTACGGTATATCATCCTCAATGGGTTATTTAATGCTGACGAGATTTTTATGGCTGGGAATACATTTTATATCTATCTATCTATCTATCTCAGTATATATTGGTTTGCTTTTGCTTTGTTTTTACGGTATATCATCCTCAATGGGTTATTTAATGCTGACGAGATTTTTATGGCTGGAATATTTTTATATCTATCTATCTATCTATCTATCTATCTATCTCAGTATATATTGGTTTGCTTTGCTTTGTTTTACGGTATATCATCCTCAATGGGTTATTTAAGGCCGACGAGATTTTTATGGCTGGGAATACATTTTTTATATCTATCTATCTATCTATCTATCTATCTCAGTATATATTGGTTTGCTTTGCTTTGTTTTACGGTATATCATCCTCAATGGGTTATTTAATGCTTCGAGATTTTTATGGCTGGGAATACATTTATATCTATCTATCTATCTATCTATCTATCTCAATTTTGCTTTGTTTTACGGTATATCATCCTCAATGGGTTATTTAATGCTGGAAAGATTTTTATTACTGGGAATACATTTTATATCTATCTATCTATCTATCTATCTATCTATCTATCTATCTCAGTATATATTGGTTTGGTTTGCTTTTGTTTTACGGTATATCATCCTCAATGGGTTATTTAATGCTGACGAGATTTTTATGGCTGAATACATTTTATATCTATCTATCTATCTATCTATCTATCTATCTATCTCAGTATATATTGGTTTGCTTTTGCTTTGTTTTACGGTATATCATCCTCAATGGGTTATTTAATGCTGACGAGATTTTCTTGGCTGGGAATACAGTTTTTATATCTATCTATCTATCTATCTATCTATCTCAGTATATATTGGTTTGCTTTGCTTTGTTTTACGGTATATCATCCTCAATGGGTTATTTAATGCTGAATATTTTATGGCTGGGAATACATTTTATATCTATCTATCTATCTATCTATCTATCTATCTATCTCAGTATATATTGGTTTGCTTTCTTTGTTACTTTATGGTATATCATCCTCAATGGGTTATTTAAGGCCAACGAGGGTGGTTTTTATGGCTGGGAATATATTTTATATCTATGAATATCTATCTATCTATCTCTTAGTATATATTGGTTTGGTTTGCTTTGTTTTACGGTATATCATCCTCAATGGGTTATTTAATGCTGACGAGATTTTTTATTTGGGAATACATTTTATATCTATCTATCTATCTATCTATCTATCTATCTATCTATCTATCTATCTCAGTATATATTGGTTTGTTTTGCTTTGTTTTACGGGTATATCATCCTCAATGGGTTATTTAAGGCCGACGAGATTTTTATATTGGGAATATATTTTATATCTATCTATCTATCTATCTATCTCAGTATATATTGACACCATTTCTTTGTTTTACGGTTATCATCCTCAATGGGTTATTTAATGCTGACGAGATTTTTATGGCTGGGGAATACATTTTATATCTATCTATCTATCTATCTATCTATCTATCTATCTATCTATCTATCTATCTCAGTATATATTGGTTTGCTTTGTTTTGTTTTACGGTATATCATCCTCAATGGGTTATTTAAGGCCGACGAGATTTTTATGGCTGGGAATACATTTTATATCTATTTCTATCTATCTATCTATCTATCTATCTCAGTATATATTGGTTTGCTTTGCTTTGTTTTTACGGTATATCATCCTCAATGGGTTATTTAAGGCCGACGAGATTTTTTATGGCTGGGAATATATTTTATATCTATCTATCTATCTATCTATCTCAGTATATATTGGTTTGGTTTGCTTTGTTTTACGGTTATCATCCTCAATGGGATTTATTTAATGCTGACGAGATTTTTATGGCTGGGAATACATTTTTATATCTATCTATCTATCTATCCTTCTATCTATCTATCTCAGTATATATTGGTTTGGTTTGCTTTGTTTTACGGTATATCATCCTCAATGGGTTATTTAATGCTGACGAGATTTTTATGGCTGGGAATACATTTTATATCTATCTATCTATCTATCTATCTATCTCAGTATATATTGGTTTGCTTTGCTTTGTTTTACGGTATATCATCCTCAATGGGTTATTTAATTTATTGACGAGATTTTTATGGCTGGGAATACATTTTATATCTATCTATCTATCTATCTATCTATCTCAGTATATATTGGTTTGCTTTGCTTTGTTTTACGGTATATCATCCTCAATGGGTTATTTAAGGCCGACGAGATTTTTATGGCTGGGAATATATTTTATATCTATCTATCTATCTATCTATCTCAGTATATATTGGTTTGGTTTGCTTTGTTTTACGGTATATAATCCTCAATGGGTTATTTAATGGTTGACGAGATTTTTTTATGGCTGGGAATACATTTTATATCTATCTATCTATCTATCTATCTATCTATCTATCTCAGTATATATTGGTTTGCTTTTGCTTTTTTTTTACGGTATATCATCCTCAATGGGTTATTTAATGCTGACGAGATTTTTTATGGCTTGGAATACATTTTATATCTATCTATCTATCTATCTATCTATCTATCTATCTCAGTATATATTGGTTTGCTTTGCTTTGTTTTACGGTATATCATCCTCAATGGGTTATTTAATGCTGACGAGATTTTTATGGCTGGGAATACATTTTATATCTATCTATCTATCTATCTATCTATCTCAGTATATATTGGTTTGCTTTGCTTTGTTTTACGGTATATCATCCTCAATGGGTTATTTAATGCTGACGAGATTTTTATGGCTGGGAATACATTTTATATCTATCTATTATCTATCTATCTATCTCAGTATATATTGGTTTGCTTTTGCTTTTTTTTACGGTATATCATCCTCAATGGGTTATTTAATGCTGACGAGATTTTTATGGCTGGAATACATTTTATATCTATCTATCTATCTATCTATCTATCTATCTATCTATCTCAGTATATATTGGTTTGGTTTGATTTTGTTTTACGGTATATCATCCTCAATGGGTTATTTAATGCTGACGAATTTTTATGGCATGGGAATACATTTTATATCTATCTATCTATCTATCTATCTATCTATCTATCTATCTATCTCAGTATATATTGGTTTGATTTTTGCTTTTGTTTTACGGTATATCATCCTCAATGGGTTATTTAATGCTGATGAGATTTTTTATGGCTGGGAATACATTTTATATCTATCTATCTATCTATCTATCTATCTATCTCAGTATATATTGGTTTGCGTTGCTTTGTTTTACGGTATATCATCCTCAATGGGTTATTTAATGACGAGATTTTTATGGCTGGGAATACATTTTATATCTATCTATCTATCTATCTATCTATCTATCTATCTATCTCAGTATATATTGGTTTAATTAAATTTTGTTTTTACGGTATATCATCCTCAATGGGTTATTTAAGGCCGACGAGATTTTTTATGGCTGGGAATATATTTTATATCTATCTATCTATCTATCTATCTCAGTATATATTGGTTTGGTTTGCTTTGTTTTACGGTATATCATCCTCAATGGGTTATTTAATGCTGACGAGATTTTATTTTGGGAATACATTTTATATCTATTATCTATCTATCTATCTATCTATCTATCTATCTATCTATCTCAGTATATATTGGTTTGGTTTGCTTTGTTTTACGGTATATCATCCTCAATGGGTTATTTAATGCTGACGAGATTTTTATGGCTGGGAATACTGTTTTATATCTATCTATCTATCTATCTATCTATCTATCTATCTATCTCAGTATATATTGGTTTGGTTTGCTTTGTTTTACGGTATATCATCCTCAATGGGTTATTTAATGCTGACGAGATTTTTATTCTTGGGAATACATTTTTATATCTATCTATCTAGGTTTATCTATCTATCTATCTATCTATCTCAGTATATATTGGTTTGGTTTTCTTTGTTTTAGGTATATCATCCTCAATGGGTTATTTAATGCTGACGAGATTTTTATGGCTGGGAATACATTTTATATCTATCTATCTATCTATCTATCTATCTATCTATCTATCTATCTATCTCAGTATATATTGGTTTGCTTTGCTTTGTTTTACGGTATATCATCCTCAATGGGTTATTTAAGGCCGACGAGATTTTTATGGCTGGGAATATATTTTATATCTATCTATCTATCTATCTATCTCAGTATATATTGGTTTGGTTTGCTTTGTTTTACGGTATATCATCCTCAATGGGTTATTTAATGCTGACGAGATTTTTATGGCTGGGAATACATTTTATATCTATCTATCTATCTATCCTTCTATCTATCTATCTCAGTATATATTGGTTTGGTTTGCTTTAATTTTTTACGGTATATCATCCTCAATGGGTTATTTAAGGCCCGACGAGATTTTTATGGCTGGGAATACATTTTATATCTATCTATCTATCTATCTCAGTATATATTGGTTTGGTTTGCTTTTGTTTTACGGTATCATCATCCTCAATGGGTTATTTAATGCTGACGAGATTTTTTATGGCTGGGAATACATTTTATATCTATCTATCTATCTATCTATCTATCTATCTCAGTATATATTGGTTTGCTTTGCTTTTTTTTTTACGTTATATCATCCTCAATGGGTTATTTAATGCTGACGAGATTTTTATGGCTGGGAATACATTTTATATCTATCTATCTATCTATCTCAGTATATATTGGTTTGGTTTGCTTTGTTTTACGGTATATCATCCTCAATGGGTTATTTATTGACGAGATTTTTTTATGGCTGGGAATACATTTTATATCTATCTATCTATCTATCTATCTATCTATCTATCTATCTATCTCAGTATATATTGGTTTGGTTTGCTTTTGTTTTTACGGTATATCATCCTCAATGGGTTATTTAATGCTGACGAGATTTTTATCTTTGGGAATACATTTTATATCTATTATCTATCTATCTCAGTATATATTGGTTTGGTTTGCTTTGTTTTACGGTATATCATCCTCAATGGGTTATTTAATGCTGACGAGATTTTTATGGCTGGGAATACATTTTATATCTATCTATCTATCTATCTATCTATCTATCTATCTCAGTATATATTGGTTTGTTTTGCTTTGTTTTACGGTATATCATCCTCAATGGGTTATTTAATTCTGACGAGATTTTTATGGCTGGGAATACATTTTATATCTATCTATCTATCTATCTCAGTATATATTGGTTTGGTTTGCTTTGTTTTACGGTATATCATCCTCAATGGGTTATTTAATGCTGACGAGATTTTTATGGCTGGGAATACATTTTATATCTATCTATCTATCTATCTATCTCAGTATATGTTGGTTTGGTTTGTTTTACGGCATATCAACCTCAAAAATGTTTCAGAAATGCATTGCTACTAATAATGCATTACTTGCAAGACCTTTTTGCCTTCAAAAATTCATTGCTGTTAATAGTTTTTTTTCCTTTAAAAATGTATTGCTGGTAATAATATTTTACAAAAATGTATTGCTGGTACTATCAACTATGTTTACACTTTCATAGTGTTTTTACCCAGCTTGGGAGTTAACCACCCGCCCAAAGCTGGGACCCTAACAGGTGCTACAACCCCAGGTCAGGCTGGACCTGGGAACACCAGTAATTAATAGGGGTTTCCACGCACATCAAAACCTCCTGATCAGAGGCCTTGCTGTCGGATTTACATTGTCGTATCGAGGACGCGGTCGTAGTTTATCGTCATACCCCGCCTGGAGATCGAATGTCTTACGAAAGAAACTACATTAAAGCCAAAGGTGTTTTAACATAAAGTTACATGGAGTCAACACAACTGAGCCATGCTTTGCTGTAATGGCTCCCCGTAGCTTAATGTTAAATAGCACTCGGGTTGAATACAATTTTCATTGATTAAAAACGGAATAAAGATTTGATTCCTGTCTGAAGACATATTTCTTCTAGTATGACTTTCGATTTCTAGGCAGATAAACATTAATTTTATTGTTCTAAATGAAATAGGCGCATCTAGTAAATATACATGCATACACACACACACACACAAACACACACACACACACACACATATATATATATATATATATATATATGTATGTATATATTGATGCATGTTTCATTAAATAATATAGACAAATGTTGTCTATTTATTTAATGTAAATTCTTTTCATATCGTCTGATAAGCTTAATAACATTATCATTAAACGAAGAAAGGAAATCACAATTTTGATACATATTTTTTAATCCAATTTAAGCTTTCGGCTTACATAAGCCATTATCAAAGATGACAATTACGTTACAGTATATTAAGCAATACACGGACAAATCAGTGATGATAGTCTGTTTCTGCTTACATGGAAGATTTCCAAGCAACGACAAACTCGTGCATATGACCACGCGAGAGTGAATTCGAGAAGTATTAAGTATGGGAAGCCGTTGGTATAAACCAATCGCTTCTGTTACCAATTATAGGCATTTAAGAATATTTGTGGAGATTTTATAGTTTATTTTGTTCAGGTTAGATTTCAACTGTTTTATGTATGTAGCTTCAAGAATTTTTAGTTTTTTTTTATTTATTGTTTTCATGTTTAAGTATAGTTGTGTTTTCAACAAGGATTTGCCGGAATTGTACATACGGCCAGGTATGTTGTTTTAAATGTCTAAAAATGTTAGAGTTATCATTCAAATGTAGTGTCAAGCTTCGTGAAAGCGAGTTTGTGGTGTGACCAACATAAATATTATTTAATTCGTTGGAGTTGCCAAGGGCACTTGAATTTGTAAACTATGTTGGTTTTTTATATATATATATATATATATATATATATATATATATATATATATATATATATGTGTGTGTGTGTGTGTGTGTGTGTGTGTAATAAATGCGAATGTCAGTGTGTCACTCTGTCTCACCTTTTCAATTAAAGGTACAGAACTCTCTAACTTTGAAAAGTTCATGTTATAGAAATTTTGGATTCACCATTTTTCATTACTGCGATTTTACGTGTTTTTTTGCAACGAAATGTTGGTACGATAAGAATTTCTATAGCTTAAGGAGAAATTTGGGAATAATCGAAATTAATTGCGAAATCCAGCGAAAGCCACCCATGAATTAAAAATAATTGTTTGTCCGGAAAGTAAGGACCTACGTACATCAAATTATCTTTAATTAAATGGTGGCAGAAGAATTATCGTTGAACTTTTAAATGTTAAGCTTAAATATTAATGCAATACTTAAATGTAGCGATCAATTTTGAGTTCTTCTGTAGTTTATTGTTGCCTATCACATACGGCAGCAGTATGCCTCACAAAAAGAAATCTCCGCGAACAGGAGACCAGATTACAATTAAAAAAGATTAAGGGAGGTGGCTTATTAACTCGGTCAGTGTCTGGTCATTGCCCCGATAACTTACTCTTAATTATCTTAATAAAGATTGATTTAAAATTATTCCTATCTCTCCCTTACCTTTCTAATTTCGACCATATCTGTCATCCTCCTCCTCCTCTCTCTATCACCTTGCGTCAACTTAAAACTACCCATCAAAAGTGTATAAAAATAATACGTAAATTTAAAAATATTATGTTTAAAACCTTGGAAATGTGTTCCGAAGAACCAGGAAAAAAACACCTAGCTGGGGAAATAAAATATAATCAATGGGTTCTTAAGGTTGTCTGTTTTCTAATTCAATTAAATTAATAGTTGGTCCGGTTTGACATTGAGCTCTCTGGATTACATCCTCTTTGGGTTTATCATACAGATTACCAAAGTTTTCATTACCTTATATATATATATATATATATATATATATATATATATATATATATATATAATGGACTCTCCCGTCGGTTTCGACGTATGAGGATCTGCCAGCTTATTGATTCAGTTATGAAAGATTATGCGATAATCTTAAATGGCATTTAAGACCCGCTAGTGATTTACAAAAGAGGCCACATATGGAGCAGGTGTGAGAATTGTGAGATGAGATCACTCTTAGATTGGCTGACCTTTTAGATCTTGCTCTCGCTTCTTGAAGGTGATTCAGACAAGCAGATTGAAAATTACTGAGCCCACTAAAAACCGATGATGCCCATTCTACTCGCTCCAAAGCTAAGCGCTCAAGTTTGTTATGTGGTATATTAACTGCTGATAAGTTGCTTTTCAGCTTGTTTTTGTATCTTAGCCATGGGCGTCCTACATTCCTGTAGCCCTGATCTAACTGACTGTACATTAGGATCTTGGGTATCCTGTCATCAGACATATATACATATATATATATATATATATATATATATATATATATATATATATATATATATATATAGTTATACTGTTTAGAAAAACCTTAGGTATTTTGGCTTGTAACTGAACAAACCAATGCCCAAAGGAAAATAAGGGCTAAAAGAAGAAAGAACTAAGAACATGTAATTGAGGCGAAAACAAACGTCCAGAATCCAAGCTCAGAGTCCAAAGAAAAAAAACTCCAAAACGAGTAAAGCAAAAAGTAACTACGTAAAGTGCTCAATTACACTAAGTAGAGCAAGTTTAAATATGAACCTAAAGAGCCAGGTAAAACCTGGATCTTTACACACACACACACACACACACACACATATATATATATATATATATATATATATATATATATATAATAAAAAGGCTTAAACACTAATAGTCCATGGTCATAATTTATTCCATTGGAATCGCAAATACGATCCAATTCATCAGACCTGCAAATTCAAAAAGAAAAAAAAAAAACAACTTCGGAAATAAAAAATAAAATTTAGAGAGAGTGTAAGTATGAGAGTGTGGGACGAATGTTAGAGCTAAAGAGAGGGGTAACAGACGAGAGAAGGTGGGAGATTGAACAGAGAGAAATTTTAGAGAGGTGAGTCAAAGACGGTTTAAGTGAGAGAAATATGAATGTTGTCGGATGTCTAATACATTAAAGATGTAACCGGAAAGGATACATTGTGTGGTGACATACACACACAATAGACGATATAATCTTAAAGATCAGAACTTTTTCGTCTGTTAACGGCTCCAGGAAGACAATATATAAAGTTGTTTATATATCAAGAACAATTTTAGGAGGAAAAAGTACGACAAACTGGAAAAATGTAGCGAAGTACCGAAAAACATTTCGACAACTTTTTTCCCTACTTTTTTAATATTTTTTTCGTCCAACAATCTAAGTAGATAACACTAGAGTAAACTTTTACTTTCCGTCTGCCATGTTTGCTAAACCAAACCCTTATCTTCCTATTCAACTGCCTAATGTAGGCATCTAGATTAAAATTTTACTGCCAGAAGCCGAAATGATGAATTTTTCTTTTCCTTTTATGCTTTTATGACTTTTTCCGTTTCTCTGAAAGATATGCTTTCATTTTTTTATCTTGCAACCGGAGAATCAACAAGTAAAAATATTTTGTTTGTATTTTTAGTATAGGAAATGACCGCCAGGGGGTGTGCATAAATATTAACATATGTCGTCACGAAAACATAGTTCCGCGTTAATCTAGTCTGCATTGATGCAATGGAATGCGCGACAGATTAGTTCAGGATCAAAATATGCGTACGTCAAATCCTCTTCCCAGATATTTAAATTGAATGTCATCCCAGAATTTATGATGAGTTTCAAATAAGGTTTGAATTATTAATTACATAGTGTAACTGTTTCCGAAGGTTTTTCTTCTGCCACGAACTCGACTGATGTTCGTAAGCATTTGTTTTCGCTTTGCTATTTACAAGGAAATACACGGAAATGGAAATAAAATGGTTCCTTAGCTTTTCTAAGTAATAAAAGAGCTGATCATAATTGACTGATTTGTTGTTGTTTTTTTTGTTTTTTTTACGACTTAACCCTTTGTGGTATATTTAATGTCGAAAAATATTTGGGGATTGTAAAAATAATTCTTTTTTTTTTTTCTCGAGTGAATCTTTTGAGAATTCAGGTTATTTATTCTCAGTCAACTTTAAATGCAATCGCAATTGTTATCTCCCTGAAATTCTCACAATCTAACATATTTTGTGGCTTTAAATAACCAGCAAAAGGTGGATAAGCAGTAAGAAATCATTGTGAAAGATTGTAATGCCCCAGGATTTAAACGTTTTGAGATACCATTTCACTCCAGATCTCAAGTGATACTTCCGGCAGACAATTTTAAAATACCTAAATCATACTTCGTTTGAAATTAAAAAAAAATGTTTGTTTCTAGGAAATCAAATAATATTATTTTCATTTAACATTTAATAAATTTTTATTCTAATATTTGATAAATAATATATTTTTATTCTAAAATTAAATCATTTTTATTCTAATATTAATGAATAATAGTATTTTCAATGCTAAAATTATATTTTATTTTAATATTCAATAAATAATATATTTTTATTCTAATATTAAATCATTTTCATTCTAATATTTAATAAATAATAATATTTTCAATGCTAAAATTTAATAAATTTTATTTTAATATTCAATAAATAATATATTTTTATTCTAAGATTAAATCATTTTTATTCTTATATTTAATAAATAATAATATTGTCAATGCTAAAATTTAATAAATTTTATTTTAATATTCAATAAATAATATATTTTTATTCTAAGATTAAATCATTTTTATTCTAACATTTAATAAATAATAATAATTTCAATGCTAAAATTTAATAAATTTTATTTTAATATTCAATAAATAATATACTTTTATTCTAACATTAAATAATTTTTTATTCTAATATTTAATTAAAACTATAATATCATTTCATCATCCACTTTCAGCAAGTGTGTTTTCTGCAGTCCAAATGAACGGTTCTAATTTCAATGGGACTGCAGGCTTTGAATGGCTATTAGGACAAAATTTCACTCCAGATTTCACGTCGTTACTCCAGTAAACAAATTATTCTTCGATTTTAAAATTGAAAAAGAAAATGTTTCTTTGAGATTAAAACAAATAAAATATAAATACGTCTGTTCACTTTGCTTCTGTAATGTCGGGTCTCTTAAGATGCTTGTCCATCATGAATTTCGACAGATTTCTTTCTATTGCCATCTGTGAAGTAACATAACATTTTAGTGGAAGAGTTTTACTTTGCCCAAGGTTTTAAATTCAGATTACCCTTTTTCTAGACTGAAGTTTCGATATCTCGAGCTGGCATTTCGGCTTCAGTCCCTTTTCCCACCGCAAGAAAGTAACTACCCTTTTCCTTTTCTATAAATATCTTCATGATACTGACCATTCGTCTTTGGTATTTCGACTTATGAATTTAAGCGTAGTACTAGATTTTAAACAAGCAGGTACACAACTTTAAATATCTGGGAAGTGTTCTAATAGAGAACGGAACGTGTGACACTGAGATCCGAAAACGTACTGGGAAGACCAAAGATGCATTCCAAAAGCTAAGCAGAGTATTAAGAGACAAGGAAATTTTGTTAGAAACAAAAAGAGTACTGAACTGTTACGCCGCCTTGGGTAAGACGATAAACTACATCCGCGTCCTGTATAAGACGATAAACCACATCCGCGTCCTGGGTAAGACGATAAACAACATCCGCGTCCTGGGTAAGACGATAAACTACATCCGCGTCCTGGGTAAGACGATAAACAACATCCGCGTCCCGGGTAAGACGATAAACTACATCCGCGTCCTGGGTAAGACGATAAACTACATCCAACAGCAAGGCCTCTGATCAGAAGGTTTTGAGGAGCGTGGAACCACCTCTTAATTGCTGGTGATCCCAAATACATCCTGACCCGGGGTCGTAGCACCTGTTAGGGTCCCAGTTATGGGCAAGTAGTTAACGCCCAAACTGGGGTCAAAACACAATGAAAGTGTAAATATAGGTTTTAATACCAGCAATACATTTTTTTTTAAATTATTACAAGCAATAAATATTTGAAGAAAATTATTACTAGCAGTATATTTTTGAAAAAAAAAATATTACCAGCAATAACTTTTTGAGAAAAAAATTATTACCAGCAATATAATTTTTATAAAAATATTACCAGAAATTAGTCAGTTATGTGCCATGCGTGATAAACGCTTAGGCGATCATGTATCTTTCGATACATGACTGACAAGGCAGATTATTTCCCGCAGTAGGTTGCCATTTCTTTCTGCGGCAGACCAGCTACCATCCAAGTTTATAGAACCCGGTCTGTCCGGAAATTTACCCATAGCTGGGGGGGGGAGAAGAAAGGATTCATACCTTTCCCAAGGTTATTAGCACGTAAGTGAATGTAATGGAATTCGAACTCAGCTCTCCGATTCCTCAATCCGAGCCGCTATCCATTAATACTTTTTGGAAAAAATATTGCCAACAATAAAAATTGATATGCCGTAAACCAAACCAAACCAAAGTGAACTTTTACGTAATATCTGTCCTCCTGTATGTAAGCGAATGTTGGACAATCTCCTCAAAGATGAAGAAGGGACTCGAAGCAACAGAAATCTGGTTCTACAGAAGCATTCTGAGAATACCATGAACCGAGCATGTGAGCAACGATAAGGTTTTGGAGAGAATATAAACAAAAAGGTAACTTATTCTTAACATAGAGGAAGAGGCTGTTGAAATTTTTGGGTTACATAATGAGGAAGGAAGGCTTGGAAAATATGATACTCTCAGGACGGATATTGAGAAAGAGGGACAGAGAAAAGTAAAGCGTGACATAATGGGCTTGAGCAAGATCTGGGAGAAATAACAAACAGACAAAACTTATTAAGTGCTACAAGGGACAGGACGATGTGGAGGTCCATGATCGCCTAGGTCTTGAAGAGACACGGCACATAGAAGAAGGGTCAGCTTGAGTAAATGAATGGTAGAACAGCAATAAGGAGAAATGAAAAAAGACAAAACTTATTAAGAGCTGAAGTGAGAGGAAAATGTGGAGGAACATGATCGTCTATATACTAAGAGACACGGCACAGAGAAGAAGAAGAAGAAGAAGCTTGAGTAAATGGATGATAGAACAGGGTTTGAGAGAAATAAATAAGACAAATGTTTAAGAGCTGAAGGGAAAAGAAGATGTGGTGGGCCATGATCGTCTACGTCCTGAAGAAACAGCACATAGAAGAAGAAACAATTTGAGCAAATGGATGGTAGAACAGGGTTTGGGAGAAAGAATAAAAAGACGAAACTTATTAAGAGCTGAAGCAAGAGGAAGATAGGAAGAGCCATGATCGCCTAAACACATAAAGAAAGAAGACTAGGTTGCCAGTTAGGTCTCATCATTTTATTACTGAAATTGCAAGATGTAATCAAAAGATCTGTGGTAATCTGTGTTCTCTCGCACCTCTCGCTCACGGAACTTCCTTCCGGCTACATGCTTTCCTCTAAACTTCACATTTTAAATGCAACGTCAATCATCATCTTCTGTCTCCTTAAATCCTTTTATTCGAGACTGTTTTCTCTTTAATAATATTTTCTTGACTTTTTTTTTCACTCTCAGAAAACCCTTGTGTCATAGAGGCTTTATCGCCTTACTTGTGTGAAACGATTTAAATTAAATGACTTCTTTGGAAAGATAGTGGATTAGGTTTTGGATTTATTCTCAGTTTTGAATTCAGAATTGTTTTTTGACTGGCTTCCATCCAAAAACTTAATCATAGCTCGGCAAATGTGGACTGCCATGGGTTCTTAAGAAAAATAGCGGGCTGTTTTTATTTATTTATATTCTGTTACTTTGTATATAGTTTTTGGTTCGGTTTTGTTTCGTTTGTTTTAAGGAATATCAACCTAAATGAATTATTTAATGCCGACAAGATTTGTATTGTTGGTATTTTTTTTATCTATCTATCTATCTATCTATCTATCTATCTATCTATTGGTTTGGTTTGCTTTGTTTTTACGGCATAAAAACCACAATGGGTTATTTAATGCCGGCAAAATTTTTATTGATGATTATATTTTTTATCTATCTATCTATCTATCTATCTATCTATCTATCTATCAGTATATATATATATATATATATATATATATATATATATATATATATATATATATATATATGCTAATACCCTTGGGAAAGGTGTGAATCCTCATCTTCTCCCTCCAGCTATGGGTAAATAGCAGGACAGACTGGGTTCTATAGCCTTGGATGGCAACTGGTCTAGGAGAAGGACAACTCTGAATTCAAAACCTGCGGAGTGTCGTTTGGAGACCTTGTGGCACTTAGTGCACCAGGTCTCTGTATTCGGCCCTTCAAAAAGTGTGGCTGGTCCTGCACGAAACTTTCACCACTATAATCAAATCTCATGTGCCGGTGTCGGGCTATCAGTTTCCTGGAAACTGATCTGCTTGACCCTCATACATCGAACCCGACGGGAGAATCGATATATATATATATATATATATATATATATATATATATATATATATATTGGTCTGTTTTGTTTTGTTTTGTTTTAAGGTATATCAACCACAATAGGTTATTTAATGCCGACAAGATTTTTATTGCTGGTTATATTTTTTCTATCTATCTATCTATCTATCTATCTATCTATCTCAGTATATATTGATTTGGTTTGTTTTGTTTTACGGCATATCAACCTCAATGGGTTATTTAATACCGACGAGATTTTTATTACTGGTTATATGTTCCTCTCTATCTATCGATCTATCTATCTAGCTAGCTAGCTCAGTATATATTGCTTTGGTTTGGTTTGTTTTACGGCATATCAACCGAAAAGTTTTTTTTTTTATTGCTGGTAATATTTTTTCTTCAAAACTGTATTGCTGGTATGAGAACCTATTTTTACACTTTGATAGTGTTTTGGGGATTAACTCTTTGCCCCTAGTTGGGATCCCTAACAGGTGCTACCACCCTGGGTCAGGTTGGACCTGGGAACACCAGCAATTAAAAGGTGGTTCTACGCACCTCAAAACCTACTGATAAGAGGTTTTGCTGTTGGACGTAGTTTATCCATCTAATCCAGGACGCTATAGTTTTTGGATTCATAATAGTCTTGCTCCTAGACTGGCAGGCAACTGAGGCTAGAGAGCCCAATCTATTTTTTACACAATTTTTAATACAGGGATAGAACAGCTGGCTTCATACTTTTTCCGTGGCTTTTTGTTTTATTTGTACGAAAGACAACAAGATAGGCGAGCACGGAATTTGAACTCTGCATGCCAAATCCAACTATCTAATAATAATGTGCAAATGAATCAGAGCACATAGATTCTTTATAAGACAGGGATGAGAGGACAAACATTACTTCGCGCTACAAGTGGCTGAATATTACGGCGAGACATGATCGCCTACATTCTGAAAGAACACGGGACATGGGAGAAAGCGAATCTTATCCTTGATTTGCATATGACGGGGTTGTCGCTTTGATGGTCGAAATTGTCACATACGCAAATAGCAGCCAAATAAACCTTGTAATCTAATATCTTTAAATATACAGAGGATATTGAAATAAATCCTGTAATTCAACTTAGTAATTAAACGAATGTCAACAAAAACAGAAAGAAGACATTCTTGCAATAATTTGCCACATTTGTTTTTGTACAGCCATCAGTGATAATTAAACCCTTACTTTAAATTAAATTCACAAATTATATATATATATATATATATATATATAAGTAATTCATCGAGTTTAGAAGAAACCTCAACAGAATGCAAAAGCACTGGACCAAGTCGGATCCACACGAAAGATTATTACCTGTAGAACAACATTTCCGTCTAGAAAACCATGATTTTAATAACCATGCAAAATTCACTATAATGGAAAAAATAGAAATAGACAGAAAAGATAACATTAGAAAAAAATATAGAGAAACATGAAGACAAATGGATTTTGCGCCTCAAGACCCTTCGTCCAGATAGGCTTAACCACAAACTTAACAACATAGATAAATTAATATATAACCTCATAAATCAAGCCCTACCCACATTCCTCACCCACACAAGACAGACATGCTTGCAAAAGTGTTGGGGGTCCCACACTTATACACACACACACACAAATATATACACATCACACACACTCTCAAGGAACTAAAAGTTAACATACACTTAACGCACACATCCCTAGCAACCAATAAAACTGTCAAAAACACCAAGGACGGAATTCTTAGTCAGGAATCTCTCACCTACTATCTTAAAAACAACTTAAAAGAGTTCGTTTGAGCAACCCAAGGACTGACCAAAATTAGCGATAAAGAAAAAAAATGAAAACTACTGATAAAGCTGACTTTCTTCAGAAACAGTCATTTATTTCACTGCTACTAGCAAGCAGGGAGTTTTTCTCCTGATGATGGCCATCCTGGCCAAAACTAGTCAAGGAACCTGACTGAAATAATGAAACAAACAATATTAATTTAATATACAACAGAGTGTCTGAAAATTTTAATTTTTTTAATATTTTTTATTGTTCAAAACACTCTCTCTCTCTCTCTCTCTCTCTCTCTCTATATATATATATATATATATATATATATATATATATATATATATATAACCTCCATTAACGAAAAAAAGCGGAGTGGTTATAAGGTTTGTGGGCTTAAACTCAGATCAACCAATCGAATATGACCTACGTTAAATTTAAACTAAGAGAAGAAGCAAAAGTTATTCTTTACGAACGTATATATATATATATATATATATATATATATATATATATATATATATATATATATATATATTTTTTATCAAGTTTAGTAAGTGTGAATAAAAAAATGACTTGTCTAATTTTTTATTATATTTTTCTAATTTTCGTATTGTGCTCCAAGTTGTGGATAAACTGTCGGATGTTCATATTTTGTTATTTTTGTTAAGTACTTTCGACTTTCCAATTTGTGTACTAGACATTTTTAATTTAATTTCAGCTGTCGTACCACTTACTCTAATTTTGTTTTCGTTTTAGGCCCACCGGCCGGGCAGGGTTAAAATGCTTTGAAAAAGGTCGGTAGTGCGCCTCTCTCTCTCTCTCTCTCTCTCTCTGTCTCCCATCCTGGCACTACATTGAACTCCCCACTACCAAGTGACTTCGTCTTCGTTTGAACCCATCACATCAGTACCCCATCTAACCAAACACATTTAGTTTCTGAAATCAAGACATATTTATAGAGTTTGCCAAACTTTCACTAAATGATTCATGCTTAGAAAAATTAATATGAAATTTCAATTGTAAGTAATAAGAAATCCTTTTTCCATGATGTTGTTTACAAGTATTTTTTCCCGGACCTGTCAGATTAATGTGTTAGTTTCAACCGCGTATTGTGGTCGGGTCTTTTTTTAAATATTTTATATATATATATATATATATATATATATATATATATATATATATATATATATATTAAAGGTAATAAATCTGTTGGTATATAATCCAAGTGGATCCTAGTAATATGAAATATTAAATATTAAAACAGATCCACAAAAAGAGCTCAATGTATTTATCATTACAGAACAAATAATTAATACACAAAAAAATCCAAAATTACCTTATATGGGGAATAATTTTAATTCAACAGACGAAAAAAATTCGTCAGTCTTATTCAACCCCGGTATAGACTAAGTTCAAGTCGGAATTAGAAATTTAACTGTAAAAAAAAAAACGTCGGAAAACTAAAACAGAATTCATCCATTTCAATGTTTCAATCAGACGAAAGACACGCGACAGTGGTTAGGAGAGGGTGGAATTTATTAGTTTTAAAGGGAAGAGGTTTTATAAAATTAAACCCGGATATTAACCTTATGACATTAAATTGAGGTTATATGAAGAAAGAAATATTAATTTGAAATTAAGAGAGGAATATATATATATATATATATATATATATATATATATATATATATATATAGTATTCCACTGTCGGAATGACGGCGACTAAACGGGCTACCCACACCATGTTAATTGCGATTGAGGCGGCTTGTTAGCAAGGCTGCCGGACAAAAGTAAGACCTAACAAACTGCTGTAGAACTCTTGATACGTCAACGGCCAGCTAACTACAGGTGCTGTCTCAATAAACCACTGTGGAGAAGGCAAAGAAAATCTACTCCACTATCAATCCCAAGACATATCATGGCTAACAACACAGACAAGATGAAACATAACAGCGTGAAGGGGGTTAAGACTATGGGAATTAACTCCTCACCCGGTAAGGACAGGCATGCTTAACAAGTGTCATCTGACCGTCATCCAGCGACTGCTAACATAAATGGCGTAAAAGGGATACAATTCCTCGGAACCTATCCTTCGCCCGGAAAGGAACGACGTGAGCGACAGGTGTCACCAGACCGTTATCTTGCGATTGCTCGCATCAAACATAAAATAACCCTCGAGACACATAGAACGTTCGGGCATTTAACAACGGTGGCTAGTTAGATAATGTGAAACAACAGATAAATAGGCTAAAAATCAACATCTTTGGTGTATGTGAAACTAGATGGCCAAACAATGGAGATTTTGTCAGTGAGAATCACAGGATTATATATGCAAGCCGAAAGAAAAATCATAAAGGAGTAGGATTGATACTAGATCAAGAATTTAAGAAATGCGTTCTGGGATATTAGAAATTATCTGAAAGAATTCTGGTTGTCAAGCTGAAAGGAAAACCTTTCAACGTAGCTATCATAATAGTGTATGCACCGACAGCGCAAAGTAAGGAAGACAAAAATCGAATCTTTCTACTCCATGCTAAACAACGCCAAAGCTCATTGCAAATCACAAGAAGTTATAATTATCATGACAGACGTGAACGCTAAAATAAGCAGGGGTGGGGGAGATAGCTGGCAAATGCGGACGAGGAACCTGAAACAAACGTGGAGAAAAATGGGTCAAATGGCGGACGGCCAATGACCAAGTAATAGCCAACACATGGTTCCAACAACATGAGAGATGATTATGGACATGGAGAGACCCGGGACTGCATAACTGTCAACCAAAGGTTCAGGAATGCAATGGTTCTCTGCAAAAACCTACCCAAATGCCGACTGTGTAGGCCACCATCGCCTTGTTATTTGTTAACTAAGAGTGAAACTATGGAAATTGAAGAAGCCTAATGCAACACCCAAATTGCAATACAACAAACTTCTGGGCAACCCGAATCTGAAGAAGAAATATATGAATAGTGTGAAAAGAAGATATGAGCGACATGGTGGAAATGGAATCTCGAAATGGGACGCACTAACATAACAGCGTGAAGGGGGTTAAGACTATGGGAATTAACTCCTCACCCGGTAAGGACAGACATGCTCAATTGGTGTCACCTAACCGTCATCCAGCCACTGCTAGCATAAAAGGCGTAAAAGGGATACAATTCCTCGGAACGTATCCTTCGCCCGGAAAGGTGAGCGACAGGTGTCACCAGACCGTTATTTTGCGACTGTAATGGAAACTCGAAATGGGACACACTAAGCGAAGCATTAGTGACATTAGCAAACGATAAGTGATTTTCCGAACTTAGCTTGGGAAAAGCCGAAAGTAGGTGCACCTAGTGAGGATCGAACTCACTACTCAGTCGTAATTGGTCTAGCGAGACAAGCTTGCTAACCATTACTCCACGTCGAAGCGCACAGACCGCGATATAGTAAAAACACAAACGTTGTTAAAAATCTACAAAAGAATAGGAAGCTGTGAAGAGTCATGATTAACAACGGCTTGAAGAGACAAGGCACGTAGACGGAAAAAAAGGAGGAGAAGACGAAGATAAAGAAGAATTGACCTAAAGAATGCAATTCTGACCGAACAAGTGTGTCCATTCGATACAATGAGGACCCCCACATTTATTGTTTGCCACGTGATCAATCAAGAAATCCCTCATGAGAATTTCAATTGTCTCAGCTATCAGGATAGAAATTAAATACAATGATAAATTTCGATCGTCTCAGCTAATAATTTGTCTTCTGTCATCAAACTGATTAGAGTATAATCTTTTGTATTAAATCTTATGTCCAGAAAATTGTCTCAGCTGTTAATCAATAAGCCAAGCTTTAAAAGAACCTTCAAACATGGACTCTTACAGCACCAAGGAAAATTCGTTTAGCAATGGAGACTGTACAAATTCAAATGAATTATGTTAAATTTTTATTCTTTATTTACTCAATTCTTATCTATCTAAGTTTGTTTTTTAATAATTTCACAGACAACGCTTGGATAGATTTTAAGGTGTAGGCCTACATCCTATCTAATACTCTACCTTTTTTCTGCGTCATTTACTTGCCTCTCTGTCACCTCTCCTGGGGTTTCGCGTGTCTACAAGTCTCTTGAGTACTCATGATACCTGGTGTTCCTTATTAGGTAGTTATCTGCTCAGCACCATTGGGTACATTGTTCGTTGACTGAGAGAGATAGATGTCAACAGTCTTAAATAGATAGATAGATAGATAGATAGATAGATAGATAGATAGATATGGAGAGATTGATAAGAGAGGCATATAAAGATACTATGTTGAGGAGTGGTAGGGGGATGCTGAGATACATCTGTATAGACTAACATAGATAGATAGATAGATAGATAGATAGATAGATAGATAGATAGATAGATATGAAAAGACCGAGATAGATAGATAGATAGATAGATAGATAGATAGATAGATAGATAGATAGATAGATAGAAACAGACTGATAGATAGATAAATAGATAGATAGATAGATAGATAGATAGATAGATAGATAGATAGATAGATAGATAGATAGATAGATAGATAGATAGATATGAAGAGATTGATAAGAGAGGCATATAAAGATACTATGTTGAGGAGTGGTAGGGGGGATGCTGAGATACATCTGTATAGACTAACATAGATAGATAGATAGATAGATAGATAGATAGATAGATAGATAGATAGATAGATAGATAGATAAGATGCACACATACATACATATGAAGAGGCTAATATACTACAGTCTCCATTGCTAAATATTTAAATTCTATTTACCCTAATTCATTTAACCCCAACCAAGTCGACAATGCCACTAGGGTGCAGGTAGTTACAGAAAGACAAAAATAATGTGAAAGATTTAGTGTGGAGAAGTTGGGGAAAGGTCAATAAAAGAACAGATCCACGAAGACAGAAGATGATGACTGACATTGTATTTAACAATCTGACATTGAATATCTCTATTCAAATGCATTATGTTAAATTTTTGTTTCATATTTACTCAATTCATATCTAAATTTTATTTTAAATAATTTAACGCCAAGCCATGTGATGATGCTATTACGACATGAAGGGTGTGAAAGTGAATGGGAAGGCTTTGGTGAGAGGTGGTGAAGGGAAGAAAGAATAACATGACAGGATTCAGGAAGACACAAGATGGCGACAGACGTTGCATCTATCGTTCTCTGAATATCTCAATTGAAATGTCTTATATTAAATTTATAAATTTAAAGAAAGAAAGCTTATCACATTCATTGCCATGAAAGATATGTATAAAAGACAGAGGGAAACCACCTCATTGCGGTGGGATCTATCTATCTATCTATATATCTATCTAATGCTGTTCATATCTATCTATTTATCAATCTATCTATCAATCTATCTATCTAAGTATATTCCTTATCTGTCATTTTTACTCAAGCAATCTATCTTAGTCTGTCCTCTGATCAGGAGGTTTTGAGGAGCATCAAACCACCTCTTAATTGCTGGTGTTCCCAGGTCCACCCTGACCCGGGGTGATAGCACCTATTAAGGTCACAGCTAGCGGAAAATATTTAACTATTACCAGCAATACATTTTTGAAGAAATTATTACCAGCAATACAATTTTGAAGGAAAAATATTACCAGCAACAGATTTTTGAAAAAACAAAATATTACCAGCAGTAAAAAATGTTGTCAGCATTAAATAACCCAATGAAGGTTGATATACAGTAAAACAAAATAAATGAAACCAATCTAAACCAAAGAATACATATTCTATTCATACGAATCTATTCTAAAAATGTTGTCGGCATTAAATAACCCATTGAGGTTGATATACCGTAAAACAAAATAAACATAACCAAACCAAACTATCTTAGTCTGTAAAGATATCTCTCTGCATGCCCATACCACTCCTCAACATACCATCTTTTTATGTCTCTCTGTATCAATCTCTTCATATCTATCTATCTATCTATCTATCTATCTATATCTATCTATCTATCTATCTATCTATCAGTCTTTTCCTATGTATCTATATATCTATCTACCTACTTTAGTCTGTACAGATATCCCTCAGCCTCCCCATACCACTCCTCAACATAGTATCTTCTTCCGTCTCTTTGTATCAATCTCTTCATATCTATCTATCTATCTATCTATCTATCTATCTATCTATCTATCATATTTGGTATCTATCATTTTACCCCAAGCAAGGCGACATTACCACTTGGACGCAGGGTGTTACTGGAAGATAATAAGAATGGGAAACATTTGGCGATGTGAAGTGGGGAAAACACAATAAAAGGAAAGAATCCAGGAAGACAGAAGATGGCGATTCTATTCAAATGTGTTATATTAAATGTATAAGCATTTTTTTCTATTTTTTTCTTTATTTAATAAATTCATATCTACACTCTTGTGCCAATTAATTTAAACATCCACTTTAGTTTCCGTTCTTTCACCAAACGGCCACTGGATTGACAGGGTGTAATCGATTTCTAGTCTTTTCCTCAGATTAGGTCATTTGCAGTGGTGTGCAGTAATATGAATCTTTTTTTCGATGTGTATGAAGTAATTTATTTGGCCTTGAAAAATATTTCGTCCTCCGTGATTGCATCAGATTTTTATCACACCCAGACATTATTGTCTTGACTGTCGATTAGTTGTCCTACGGCCATTGTTTGCGATGGATGTTACTTCAAGAAAACGAACGAAAATTGTAACGCCGCACGAACACAATGGCAAGCCTTACCAGTAAGCGAATAAAAGTACTATACACTGGACCGGAAAGTCTCCTGATTTAAATCCAATCGATAATCTGTGGTCAATCTTCAAGGAAAGACTTCGTGGAATGGACATACGAAGTACTAACACGTGCACTGGGTCATGTTTCATTGGAAAAATACGAAAAAAAAGTAAACTATTGTTTACTTTTTTTTCGTATTTTTCGTATTTTTCGTATAGAATTGTTTGGTTTATTTCAATTAATTTGTTTAAGGTTGTAGGTGATTATAGCCCTCCACATCTTTCTGTATAATTAATTTGCACAAGAATGTATCTATCTATTCATCTATCTTTTTTACTCAATTGGCCTCAAGTAAATGATGGAAAACATATTGTCAATATTAAAATTGAATAAAATGTTGAAATTTTTATTTCTTGCAAATATGCATTTTTGTCTGTGTCCAGTTTTAATAAGACTATACTTTTTCATTTTTGTTGAAACACACATACACTCACGCATATACATATATATATATATATATATATATGTGTGTGTGTGTGTGTGTGTGTGTGTGTGTGTGTACTGTCTATACGTTTTTTCTATAGAGTGAATTTTTTAAGTAAATATTCTGTTTATATTAAACTGTATTTGGGCAACTCGAGGTGATGTAATGGTTATCAAGTTTTTCTCGCTAGAACAATTACGACTGGGTAAAGAGTTCGATCCTCACTGGGTGCCCCATACTTTAGGCCTTGCGCCACATCCGAGCTACGCTGGGAATATCGCTATAATATACCGTATTAACAACATTTATCGGCCTGAATATCCGAGAAAGTTCATAGAAAATACATGGCCTCCAACAGGAATCGAACCTGTCTCCTACATGGAACTGTCATATAACCTGACATGCTATAAACAGCGTTTACTTAAGAATTTGTATCTATAAAATACCTTTTAAACAATATATTAAAATAATTGTCGGACATTTATATATATATATATATATATATATATATATATATATATATATATATATATATATATATATATATATATATATATATATATATATATATATATATATATATATATATTCTTAAGATATACAATATTTATGGGATAAAGTGCTCAATAGCAAAGATAGAGCGTGTGTAAATATATAAGTCAACACTTAGAGGCAACAGTCTGTTTTCATGTTAGATGCAATCGTCAGGCCACGATTGCATCTAGCATGAAACAGACTATAGCCTCTAAGTGTTGACTTCTATGTTCACATATATATATATATATGTAGATAGATACAGAGTGTCCATAATATCGTGTGCACTTTAAAAATTTGTATTTGCAATAGAAATAATATGTAAAAAATGTTATAAAGTTTAATGTACCTAGTTTTAAAATAACTAATGTGATTTCAGGCATTACTGTAAATCATTTGGCAAATGTTTTCCGTGAACTGCAAAATCGTATTACCCTTTGTATTGCTAATGATGAAGGACATGTGGAAACTTAAATAAAATTTCAATAAAATCTTAAAAAATATAGATTTACTTCTTTCTAATCCTTTTTCCAAATTATTTCTATCGCAAATACAAATAAAGTTATAAATTTATAAAAGTTATACATTTTTTAAAGTGCACACGAATTTTGTGGACACCCAGTATGTATACATATATATATATATATATAAAGAGAGAGAGAGAGATAGTGAGAGAGAGAGAAAGATAAAGAGAGAGAGTTAGATAGATAGATAGATAGATAGATAGATACATACATACATACATACATGTTATATACAAATATAAAAGAAATAAAATGTTTTTCATTTTTGAATATCCAAGATCCTTGCTTGTTTTCAGAGTCATTTTTTAAGTCAGTGTGTGTTCGTCCATATTGAGTTCATCTAGATTGTGTATTTATACACAATTTCTGCCCCACCCCCAGATAAATATAAAATATGCATTACGTGGCTTCTCCTCCTGGGATTCAAAAGTCTTAAAACATCTGCTATAAACCATTTGCTTTACACAAGCACACATACACGCCCTCAGTTTGTCGACTATTTTTTTTACAATAACGACAACCTTTACAAGGCCCAATAGCTCCTCGTGGTAGAGTGTTAGAGAGTAAGATGTAAGCTGCATATTTTATGAGGCTAAGTGGGGAAGATAACAGTAATCCCTAGACTTGAACATTTTAAGATTTAGTGATCGGGAAAGCATCCTCTTGGGAGTCGGTTCTATAAAGTAGCGGTTTTGCTTGATTACGTAGCTTAAATTTTATATTTTATGTATCCCCCCGCCCATAACAATTGTCTCGTGGTGTGAGTTCTGTTGAACGTGGGGGATATTCAACTGGACCTCTTCGTCCAGTCAACCTTTTTGGAAAAATCTCATCAGAATTGTGTTGTCGTGGTAACATTATGAATAAATGAATTCTCGAGAATAATCGTTTTTCCTTCCTTGTTTCATTTCTCATTCTTTTTTCATTTTTTCTGTCCGTCGTTTTTACTTTGTATTTTTTGCTTTCATCATATTCATTCCGTCTTTCTTTTATATTTCATTCTATAATACTTTCCTTTTCTTTCTTTTATATTTCATTCTATAATACTTTCTTTTTCTTTCTTTTTTATTCCATTCTATAATACTTTCTTTTTCTTTCTTTTATATTTCTTTCTATAATACTTTCTTTTTCTTTCTTTTATATTTCATTCTATAATACTTTCTTTTTCTTTCTTTTATATTTCATTCTATAATACTTTCTTTTTCTATCTTTTATTTTTCATTCTATAATACTTTCTTTTTCTTTCTTTTATATTTCATTCTATAATACTTTCTTTTTCTTTCTTTTATATTTCATTCTATAATACTTTCTTTTTCTTTCTTTTATATTTCATTCTATAATATTTTCTTTTTCTTTCTTTTTTATTCCATTCTATAATACTTTTTTCTTTCTTTTATATTTTTTTATATACTTTTTTTTCTTTTTATATTTCATTCTTAATATTTCTTTTTTTTTTTTTATATTTCATTCTATAATTTTTTTTTTCTTTTTTTATTTTTCATTCTATAATACTTTCTTTTTCTTTCTTTTATATTTCATTCTATAATACTTTCTTTTCTTTCTTTTATATTTCAATCTATAATACTTTCTTTTTTCTTTTCTTTTATATTTCATTCTATAATACTTTCCTTTTCTTTCTTTTATATTTCATTCTATAATACTTTCTTTTTCTTTCTTTTATATTTCATTCTATAATACTTTCTTTTTCTTTCTTTTATATTTCATTCTATAATACTTTACTTTTCTTTCTTTTATATTTCATTCTATAATACTTTCCTTTTCTTTCTTTTATATTTCATTCTATAATTTTTCCTTTTCTTTCTTTTATATTTCTTTCTATAATACTTTCTTTTTTCTTTCTTTTATATTTCTTTTCTATAATTTTTTCTTTTTTTATATTTCATTTATAATACTTTCTTTTTTCTTTTATATTTCATTTTAATACTTTTTTTTCTTTCTTTTATATTTTTTTATAATACTTTCTTTTTCTTTTATATTTCTTTTATATTACATTTCTATCTTTTCTTTCTTTTCTTTCTTTTATATTTCATTCTATAATACTTTCTTTTCTTTCTTTTATATTTCTTCTATAATACTTTTCTTTTTTTCTTTCTTTTATATTTCATTCTATAATACTTTCTTTTCTTTCTTTTATATTTCATTCTATAATACTTTCTTTTTCTTTTCTTTTTATATTTCATTCTATAATACTTTCCTTTTTTTTTCTTTTATATTTCATTCTATAATACTTTCTTTCTTTTATATTTCGTTCTATAATACTTTCCTTTTCTTTCTTTTATATTTCATTCTATAATACTTTCTTTTTCTTTCTTTTATATTTCTTTCTATAATACTTTCTTTTTCTTTCTTTTATATTTCTTTCTATAATACTTTCTTTTTCTTTTCTTTTTATATTTATTCTATAATACTTTTTTTCTTTCTTTTATATTTCTTTCTATAATACTTTCTTTTTCTTTCTTTTATATTTCTTTCTATAATACTTTCTTTTTCTTTCTTTTATATTTCATTCTATAATACTTTCCTTTTCTTTCTTTTATATTTCTTTCTATAATACTTTCTTTTTCTTTCTTTTATATTTCATTCTATAATACTTTCTTTTTCTTTCTTTTATATTTCATTCTATAATACTTTCCTTTTCTTTATTTTTTATATTCTTTCTAATACTTTCTTTTTCTTTCTTTTTTATATTTCATTCTATAATACTTTCCTTTTCTTTCTTTTATATTTCTTTCTATAATACTTTCTTTCTTTTATATTTCGTTCTATAATACTTTCCTTTTCTTTCTTTTATATTTCATTCTATAATACTTTCTTTTTCTTTCTTTTATATTTCTTTCTATAATACTTTCTTTTCTTTCTTTTTATATTTCATTCTATAATTTTTTTTCTTTCTTTTATATTTCTTTCTATAATACTTTTTTTTTCTTTCTTTTATATTTCTTTCTATAATACTTTCTTTTTTTCTTTCTTTTTATATTTTTTCTATAATTTCTTTCTTGCATTCTTTTTCTTTCTTTTCTTTCTTTTATATACTTTCTTTTCTTTCTTTTATATTTCTTTCTATAATACTTTCTTTTTCTTTCTTTTTTTTATTTCTTTCTTTAATAATTTTCTTTTTCTTTTCTTTTATATTTCTTTTCTATAATAATTTCCTTTTCTTTTTTTTATTTCTTTTCTATTTTATTTTTCTTTCTTATAATTTCATTCTATAATACTTTTTTTCTTTCTTTTATATTTCATTCTATAATACTTTCTTTTCTTTTTTTATATTTCATTCTATAATACTTTCTTTTTCTTTCTTTTATATTTCATTCTATAATACTTTCTTTTTTTCTTTTTTCATTTTTTTTTTTTTTATATTTTTTCTATAATACTTTTCTTTTCTTCTTTTTATATTTCATTCTATAATACTTTCTTTTTCTTTCTTTTTATTTCTTTCTATAATTTTTTTTTTCTTTCTTTTTATTTCATTCTATAATACTTTCTTTTTCTTTCTTTTTTTTCATTTTTTATTTCATTCTATAATACTTTTCTTTTTTCTTTCTTTTTATATTTCATTCTATAATACTTTCTTTTTCTTTCTTTTTTTTATTCCATTCTATAATACTTTCTTTTTCTTTTCTTTTTATATTTCATTTATTATTTTCTTTTTTTCTTTCTTTATATTTCTTTTCTATAATACTTTTTTTTTTTTTCTTTTATATTTTTTCTATAATACTTTCTTTTTTTTTCTTTTTATATTTCATACTATAATCTTTCTTTTTCTTTCTTTTATATTTCTTTCCATAATACTTTTTTTTTCTTTCTTTTATATTTCTTTCTATAATACTTTCTTTTTTCTTTCTTTTTTTTATTCCATTCTATAATCCTTTCTTTTTCTTTCTTTTATATTCCATTCTATAAAACTTTTTTTTTTCTTTCTTTTTATATTTCATTCTATAATACTTTCTTTTCTTTCTTTTTATTTCATTCTATAATCCTTTCTTTTTCTTTCTTTTATATTTCATTCTATAATACTTTCTTTTTCTTTCTTTTATATTTCATTCTATAATACTTTCTTTTTCTTTCTTTTTTATTCCATTCTATAATCCTTTCTTTTTCTTTCTTTTATATTTCATTCTATAATCCTTTCTTTTTCTTTCTTTTATATTTCATTCTATAATACTTTCTTTTTTTTTCTTTTTTTATTCCATTCTATAATCCTTTCTTTTTTTTTTTTTTTTATATTTCATTCTATACTTTCTTTTCTTTTCTTTTATATTTCATTCTGTAATACTTTCCTTTTCTTTCTTTTTTTTTATTCCATTCTATAATACTTTCTTTTTTTTTTCTTTTATATTTCATTCTATAATACTTTCTTTTTCTGTCTTTTATATTTCTTTCTATAATACTTTTCTTTTTTTTCTTTTCTTTTATATTTCATTCTATAATCCTTTCTTTTTCTTTCTTTTATATTTCTTTCTATAATACATTCTTTTTCTTTCTTTTATATTTCTTTCCATAATACTTTCTTTTTCTTTCTTTTATATTTCTTTCTATAATACTTTCTTTTTCTTTCTTTTATATTTCTTTCTATAATACTTTCTTTTTCTTTCTTTTATATTTCATTCTATAATACTTTCTTTTTCTTTCTTTTTTATTCCATTCTATAATACTTTCTTTTTCTTTCTTTTATATTTCTTTCTATAATACTTTCTTTTTCTTTCTTTTATATTTCATTCTATAATACTTTCTTTTTCTTTCTTTTTTATTCCATTCTATAATACTTTCTTTTTCTTTCTTTTATATTTCTTTCTATAATACTTTTCTTTTCTTACTTTTATATTTCATTCTATAATACTTTCTTTTTTTTTTTTTTATTCCATTCTATAATACTTTCTTTTTCTTTCTTTTATATTTCTTCTATAATACTTTCTTTTTCTTTCTTTTATATTTCATTCTATAATACTTTCTTTTTCTTTCTTTTATATTTCTTTCTATAATACTTTCTTTTTCTTTCTTTTATATTTCTTTCTATAATACTTTCTTTTTCTTTCTTTTATATTTCATTCTATAATACTTTCTTTTTCTTTCTTTTATATTTCTTTCCATAATACTTTCTTTTTCTTTCTTTTATATTTCTTTCTATAATACTTTCTTTTTCTTTCTTTTTTATTCCATTCTATAATCCTTTCTTTTTCTTTCTTTTATATTTCATTCTATAATACTTTCTTTTTCTTTCTTTTATATTTCATTCTATAATACTTTCTTTTTCTTTCTTTTTTATTTCATTCTATAATCCTTTCTTTTTCTTTCTTTTATATTTCATTCTATAATATTTTCTTTTTCTTTCTTTTTATATTTCATTCTATAATACTTTCTTTTTCTTTCTTTTTATTCCATTCTATAATCCTTTCTTTTTTCTTTCTTTTATATTTCATTCTATAATACTTTTTTTTCTTTCTTTTATATTTCATTCTGTAATACTTTCCTTTTCTTTTTTTTTATTCCATTCTATAATACTTTCTTTTTTTTTTCTTTTTATATTTCTTTCTATAATACTTTCTTTTTTCTTTCTTTTATATTTCATTCTATAATACTTTTCTTTTTCTTTTATTTTTTATTCCATTCTATAATACTTTTTTTTCTTTCTTTTATATTTTTTCTATAATACTTTCTTTTTTTTCTTTTTTTTATTCCATTCTATAATACTTTCTTTTTCTTTCTTTTTATATTTCTTTCTATAATACTTTCTTTTTTCTTTCTTTTATATTTCATTCTATAATACTTTCTTTTTCTTTCTTTTATATTTCTTTCTATAATACTTTCTTTTTCTTTCTTTTATATTTCATTCTATAATACTTTCTTTTTCTTTCTTTTATATTTCATTCTATAATACTTTCTTTTTCTTTCTTTTTTATTCCATTCTATAATCCTTTCTTTTTCTTTCTTTTATATTTCATTCTATAATACTTTCTTTTTCTTTCTTTTATATTTCATTCTGTAATACTTTCCTTTTCTTTCTTTTTTATTCCATTCTATAATACTTTCTTTTTCTTTCTTTTATATTTCATTCTATAA